AACTGATAATCGACAACCGTAAACCGTAACACAGGCTATTTTTCAAAATTCGTCGTCTGTGGGATTTGAACTCTAGACTAGAGGCCTGCAAATTTCTAATTTTAAGGCCCGGGCCCGGCCCGCACACTGGCCCGGGCCGGGCCGAGCTTTGGGACCCAATGCAGGCCTCTACTCTAGACTTGCCACTTGGAGAGAGTGACGACTAGACCACTACACTAAGTCGTCACACCTTATTGGGTATGTGTTATTTTAAGATTTTAGTATTTCAATATATATTATTAAATTAATTAACTTTGATTTATCTTAGGTGAACTTATTGATAGTTATCTCAATAGAAATATTACGCATTATGAAAGGATTAAAATGGTTATGACTACATACTTTTTTTTACATTTATGGAAATATCATATTAAAACTCTTAGCACGATTTACCCTTCATATATATCTGTTTCTAAAAACTTTCTATCAATGCAAACGTTTAATATTATGATTAGTTTAGTTGAATCTTTGGTCCTTTTAGTTAAGATTCATAGAGATTATTACGAGAATATACCTTTATTACCATGGAAACATGGTACCGAATCTTGCGAACATATTTTTGGAATTGCTTGTCAATTTCGTGCAGATTTTACATATTTAGAAATTCTTCAAATGGTTCCAAAAATTAGGCAATATTCCAGAACTGTTCAATCAGATGGTTTGCTATTTACAAAAGAAAAAACAGTACGTGAAGGTAAATATTATTTAATTAGTTTTAATTATGTTGTATTTAAAATAGTGATCTATCTAAAGTAGCTACTAAAGTTTGGAACTGGTTTTATTTTTCATATAGTAAACCCAATTAAAATCAGGTTTAACATATAAAAAATAAAACTGTTACAAACCCTAGTAGCTACTTTAGATATAACAATTCTATACATATATTATATATTATTAATTTGATCTGAAACTTCTAGGGTATAATTTTAATGAATATGAAGGGGTTGACTTATCAGACGATAAGCTTGAATGTTTATAGTACAGTCGCACCCCCCTAAGTGCACGCCCCCTAAGTGCAAGTACTATGTAAAACCTCTCTAAATGCACAATCATGTTGGGCCCCAACTTATAAGAGTCCTATATATTTTACTCTCTATAAATGCAAACATCCTCTAAGTACAAAATTTTAATTTTTTCACTATGGTCCCGACGGGATGCACTTAGGGAGGTGTGACTGTATTGGCCATCTGATACCGAAATTGATGATGCAATTAGTGCAAGTTACAAAAAAGCTATTCATTTAGCAAAATGACTACCACACCAAAAGATGCTTACTATTTTAATATTTATAAAAAATTTCCTAATTCACTTGAAGACTTTTGGGATAGTGATTCAGATCCTGAAGCTTATAATAATGAAGAATTTAGTATAGATAGTTTGTTTGTTTCTCAAAGTATTAATTATGCAGTGTCTGAAATGAATGTAATTCAAGAAGAGTTTAATTTGGGTTCATGAACTGAAACCTTGATAGAAAAAAGTTATGAGATTTGTCAAGTAATTGTAGAATGAATTCAAAAGTTACCTGACATTCTGTAGTTTCCGAATGGTAAGCCATTAATAGTTTTATTAATATACTTTAGTTTAAATTATTATTGATTTGGAATTTCATATATATAGATCCTATAACTGATTTCAACCAAATCTTGGATAATAGAGCATTAAATATCAAATTCTTATTGGATTTGTGCCAACATTATGATGCCCATTCTAAAAAGAAACTTGAACGAACTAAGTTCCTTTTTAAAACTAGTAATGAAAATAATAGTTCAAATGAACTTAATATTAATAAAGCTAGTAGTTTAGTATCTCAATTGACAAGAGATGATTTTGTTTCAACTAAATCACGAGAAAATCGATGGAAATTAGGTAGAAATACTAGTAACAGCATAGTTAGGGCAAAAAATACTTCAGGTAACTTATCTATTAATTTTTAAAAATCATTTATGAAATTTTAATTTTAATCTTTATTTTTTTTTTTTAGGACATTATTTGTATAACAATATAGCCATTTTTCTACTACAAATTAAATCTTTTGTAATAGCTAAATTTGATAACACATTTTGTGTTGCTCAAATTATTGCTATGTATGAGCGGGATACTTCAATATATTTATATATTAATACACCTATCTCGGACCTCAAATCTCTTTTCTATATATCTTTGAAAATTTTCTTTCATATTAATGGTGCAATTTTTTCAGCATTGCATGATTATCAATTTTATATTTTTTCTCATATTGAAGCTTCACACGTTGTTTATCATATTGCTTCTGAAGATATTAGAAATAATGAGGAAGTAGAGGAGATATTAATTCTTAAAGAGCAGGCAAAAGAAATTTTGAATTCACTTAAGAAATATTAATAAAATAATTAGCACCCTTTATATATTCTATATATTCAATGCTAATATAAGAGTATATGTAACATGATAACTATACAAGAAGTTCTAGTTATGTAATGGTTTTTTTTTTGATTAAAGTTAATATTTTTCTTTTTGGCGCAAAAAGGTAAGACCTTTTATTCATATTAGCACATGAAGTTTACCGATTAAAACTTACATTATATTAGAACTAAAAGTAAATTTGACTATATAAAGCTAATTATTTGTTTTTTGGCCTTATTTGTAAGACAATAATATGCCTATTGATAGAACGGGTCAGGTAAGTATAACCCTATAGAGCTATGTAAATTATTTAATTAAATTCTAAACTTTATAGTCATCAAAAGATTAGTATTTAATTAAATAATTTGCATATATTGAAGGACTATAAATGATCAGGATATTTATTAATACCAAATTTTCTTTATTATCTGCTTGCATGTAGTTTACCATTTTATTGATAGTTCTATTCTTATAATGATAGTTATGTTTTATAGATCATTATACCTGACCAATCAATTCATATATCAAAATGGATTTATTGGCTAGTTGAATTCAATTAATATAGTTATTAAGTTTACCCGCTCTTTCAATAATCTAAATGGTACGAAAGCTTAAAGTTTAATATATATACTTATTATTAATTACATGAATTAGCTAACCTTATTACATCTACAGAAACCTACTAAAGCTACCATAAACTCTGATTTCACAGCAACCAAGATTTTACCCGTTTATCCTCTCAAAAATAGGTTTAATCAGGTTCAAAATTATTTCTTGTTAAATAAAGTTTTGGTTAATCAATATAGGTTAACCATTTAAATTCTGATATTTATATAATAGTGGGGCGAAACAAATCTAAAACTTACATTGCAACGAAGAATCTATGGCATTCATGCCCCTTTAAGGCATCTTATGGAATAGAGTATTTTGGCCAAAGTAAATAATCTTATTCTTATAAGTTAATCTCAACACTCTAATTTACTCAAAAACAGCGTCTATAGGTTTCGCCATCATCTAATTTTGGATTAGAAATTTTAATGGGCAAAGATGAAATGATCGATTTTAAAAATTTTTGAATTGTATATTTATTTTTATTTATTTATTTATTTTTGATTTTTTTTATAAAGTAATTATGGCTGAAATTTTTATTTTAATATGAATTTTAGAATACTTTAATAAGAAATTTTGGGAAATTTTAATTTTAATTTTTTTTTTTTAAGGTTAAGATTTAGATTAGTATTACTAATCCAAGAATAATGTGAATTTATTAAAAGAGATCAAAATTTCGGCACAAGCTGCCTGGTAATTATTTTATTAACGATGCATCCTCATTTTGATATTCATGTAAAGTACTAATAAGAGCTAGCTATAATTCTCCACTGTAAATGGAGAGGTTAAAGTGGAGCGAGTTAAATTAGGGTTAGAAACTTGGATTAGGGCAGATATTGTAGCTTTAAATTAGTAATCCTAATATAGGTCAAGGCGCATTTCATAATTTTTGTTTATTTTTACCTTCATGAAAATTCATGATTTAAGCTATTTTCAAGCAGCTTTCTCGATGTGACTGGCTAGTGTTCGATTATTTCGATTAATCAAAATAGTTTGAAGTAATCATTATAACGAAAATCTATTGTATGAAATGTTAATCTCAAATTTCAGCCAATTAGAATAACTTTGTAAAAAGATGCAATCTATTTTTTTAGCCTATTTTATTACTATAGAGGGAAGCGTTTAATTATAGTTAATAAATATGGGCTTAACCCTCTATTGAGTGATTATCAAGCTTTGAAATTCTGGATTTTTGTAACTTTAAATAAATATAATAATTTTGTAAGCATGTACATATTGAGTACTGATTTTTAGGCTTATATTATTTGATTTATATTGTATGCTATACATATTATAAGTGCCGCAAAGCAAAACCTGTAATTCTTATTACATAAGGATTTTTTTTATAGCACTTATATTATCTTAATTATATTGGTAGTATTATATTTTAACTATGCCAAACCTCAATTCTGTTCTTTCCCGGTTTTTTTAAATTTTCTAGCTTTGTTTTATACCTTACCTAATATTTAAATGTAATAATTTGATTTCTAGCAAATTAGTATACAGTCAACTCTCTCTTAACTGAACCTCTCTAAACCAAACTCTCTCTTAACCAAACTGAAAACTCTAAGACATTTATAAATTTTATTATAAAGTTCGGATAAGCTTATAATACCTCTTTGAAAACCGAACTAAA